CCCCGTGATGACGCATCTTTGCCCGTTTCCACAACTCTTATCATTTTCCCCTCCCACGTCTTCCACTACACCCACCCCCCGTCAGAAACAGATCACAGATTCCCCCCCCCCAAACTTTACCTAAATTCTCCGTTTGAACATCTCACCTGCTACCTACCGCCTATCTCCACATGCAACCCTTTCCCCCAGGTTTCTAGTGTCTCTCTCGAATGTATATTGCCATGAACTAGTGTTCCATTTTTGTCTTTCATCTTCCCGCCGCCCCGTCATTGCCCTTTCGTCCTCCTCCCCTCCTAACTCCTAACGGTCGCGATTTAGGAGCTTCCTCGGCGAATCGGAGCTTATCCTTCCGACGACTAGCTCTCGGTGGCTGATGCTTTCGTCTCCCCCAAACTCGATGTCCATCCATTCCTGCCTCTAATTCCTTCTGCGCCATTAATCGAAACTCGACTCCCCTTTTCCTTCGCGTCACCTCGAAGGGCTGGATCCCTTATTCCCCGTACAAACATCGATCGTGCCCGGTTTCCCAACTACTGCTTCCCATCGCCGTGTCTTGTGGTCATCAACTGCCCTCGTGACAATCTACTGACCTGTCGACTCCACCATCAGCGAAAGATTTTCCTCTTCCTTATAACTCCCAAACCTACCCTCGGAGGTATACTTGGCCAAGACACCTGCTAGCATTCCAGCACCTAGCAGGGCTTGGTGCTCCTCTGCTGAATCCCCATCCATCTTCGGGCGTCTGAGATTGAGCTTGGCAGATATTTTGCCGTTGCAGTAATGGGTCAATCGCATTCCAAGGGCAATAATGGCCCTGGCGATTCTTTGCAATCGTATCCATCCTTTTCTCGCTCTGACACCAAGGAATCCATTCGCTCCCTCCGTGGCTCGATCCGCTCTAAGATTCGTAGCAGCGACAGTCCCCGCGCCTCCACATCTGCTCTGTATCAGACGGAAAGCCAGACCGATAAGTCGGATGCTGGCTCGATCAAATCCGCGGCAAGTAGGCGCAGCTCTACCAACCTGAGCGCTCCTCAGTCCCCTGCTGCTGACGATGCCGCTTCCAAAACCGACTCATTGGAACCTCCTCCGTCGCCGTCCCTGTCCACCAGTCTGAAAAGAGGCCATAAAGATGTGAACGCGATGCAGCAGAGTGGGGAGGTTGACCTCGTGTCAGACGCTCCCCCGACCGGTGTTGCCCCCAAGGGCCCTTCTACACAGAAAGTTGGCGAATCGATTCTCATCAAGAGGGAGAACCAGCTGAATCCGATTCTGGACTTCATCATGAACACCCCGATGAACAACGAAACATCTGGATCGCCGGGAATGGGAATGGGTGCTTTGAAGTCGATCGACCTGGATGACATGATCTCCCGACTTTTGGATGCTGGCTACTCGACCAAGGTTACCAAGACCGTTTGCTTGAAGAATGCAGAGATCGTGGCCATTTGCAGCGCCGCACGGGAACTCTTCCTCTCCCAGCCCGCTCTTCTGGAGCTGTCGGCCCCCGTCAAGATTGTCGGAGATGTCCATGGTCAGTACACTGATCTCATTAGGCTGTTCGAGATGTGTGGATTCCCCCCTGCCTCAAACTACCTCTTCCTGGGTGACTATGTGGATCGTGGAAAGCAGAGCTTGGAAACAATTCTGCTTCTGCTCTGCTATAAGCTCAAGTACCCCGAGAACTTCTTCCTCCTGCGTGGCAACCACGAGTGTGCCAACGTCACTCGCGTGTATGGATTTTATGACGAGTGCAAACGGCGTTGCAACATCAAGACTTGGAAAACATTCATCGATACTTTCAACTGCCTCCCTATTGCTGCGATCGTTGCTGGCAAGATCTTCTGTGTTCATGGTGGTCTGTCGCCGAGTCTTTCCCATATGGATGACATCCGAGGTATCGCCCGCCCGACCGACGTACCGGACTATGGACTGCTGAATGATCTTCTGTGGAGTGATCCAGCAGATATGGAGGAAGACTGGGAACCGAGCGAGCGTGGTGTCAGCTACTGCTTCGGCAAGCAGGTCATCATGAATTTCCTGCAACGGCATGACTTTGATTTGGTGTGTCGAGCGCACATGGTGGTCGAGGACGGCTATGAATTCTATCAGGACCGTATTCTGGTTACTGTCTTCTCTGCGCCTAACGTGAGTATATTTCGAAGTCGATTTGTGTCAATGCTTTTCACGATACTGACTGTCTCTGGATTTATTTAGTACTGCGGTGAATTCGATAACTGGGGAGCCATCATGTCTGTTTCAGGTGAATTACTGTGTAGCTTCGAACTCTTGAAACCGTTGGATTCCACGGCCTTGAAGAACCATATTAAGAAGGGCCGGAACAAGCGGAACAGCATGCTCAGCAGTCCTGTAAGTCGTCCCTTGCTTGTTCGTTTGTTCTCGCCAAGCCCAGAGACTACACCCTTGTGTAACATTGCCGAGGCATCTGTACCTTGGACGATACTTGCTTCTTCTGCACTGGTACGTTGACTCGATTACAATGCTAACGTCTGCAGCCTGCAATTGTCTCGGCACAAAGCTACTAGAGGTCCTGGTAATTGCATGCCAAGCGATCATCATCCGCCATATGTCACCATCAAAATACCCGGACCCTACACCACGAAAACTGACCAATGCCCATCATTCGCTATCGGCAATGCAGCCTTTGGCAACCGGCTGGGCTAGCACAGTATCACCGCCAATTCGGTAGGTGCGCCACAGTTATCCCGTCGACATTCGGGCGCCAGCCTGAGGAACCCCACTGCAGTGCAGTGATCCTGGCTCTACCGACCCATTTCTCTCTCCATTCATCCGATCCTCGGCTTGGCAGATGTCGGATATGCCAGGCTCGTCATCTTTCATGTTACTCAGAATCGACAGCATAGCGAGCCGATGCTCCGAAACACGCGTCGTTGACAGACAGACAGACCTTAGACTGTCCATACATGGTCCAACAAACCGTACGGTCGTTCCAGAACTGCCAATACTCATTTGCTTAAAGAGAGGAGGATTTTCATGACTCCAGAACGAAAACAAGGAAGACGATGAAGACGATGAAGACGATGCGAGAATCGCCACTTTGTTTTTCATCCCCTTGCTATGATAAATCACGGTTCACCCATCATCATCATCCATCATCTATCACCACGCTTGAACACTGCAACGAGACTTTTGATGCGTCACGATCTGTATGCCGTATTCGGCCGAAATCAGCAGGTTCTGGGTCCCTTTATTCTACATTTTCTTGTTGCCGTTTTTCTTCTTTTTTTTGTTGTTGCATGAAACATGGTTCGTTCGATCTTCTCCTCCGACCAATCGGGTTCTGGTAGATATTTAAAGGGAAATTACAACTGGCGTTTGATGTCTTGAGTTCTGCCACTTGTCATTTCTGCAGTATTCGTCTTTTTCCCAAGCGTTGAACCATTCGGGGTTGCGGCCCGGATGTATGTATGTATGTCTGTCTGTATGTACATCACAGAATACAGTTGATTCGACAGTTGCCACTGAAGCATCGCCCTGGGATTTATGAGTGTGTCCGCTGTACGTACTCGTAGTAAGCTTTGAGGTAAGGGGTTGATGGGACGGAGCGGGCAGTGAAAGATTCATGATTACCTATCTATCTTGTTGCTTGCTTCTGTGTACGTGCAACTGTTGTTGTTGTACTGCACTGTGCTGTACTTTGGAGTCTATGTACTCAATCATCTATAGGATCCTCGTCGTAGTACGTACATATCAAGTCCATCATCACGGTAGCGTGGTCATGCAATAGGCACTCGACGGATTTGATGTATTGGCTTGTCAGCTTGTCTTGCCATACCTGTACCATTATTCATCCGTCCCACTGCCTCAGGCTAGGATTGGATTCGAGGATTCTCAAATGTCCATCTCACCCTCGGCTCCGCACGTGTCAAGTGATCGATCTATGTAGCGATGATGATCGATCGATCGATCTCGGCACCTTCCTTCCATCCAGTTGCTCGAGTTGATGTCGTAGGATAGTCGGTAGACCGAACGTTCGGTTTTGTCCACGGGAGATCGCTTGTTAGAATCATCCGATGTGGAGAGCGAGCTTTGGACCACTGTTTCCCGGCGTTTGCATTCCCAGGAAAGGCCCAGGGAGGGGGAGAGGGGGACCACAACGGGCAGTATACGCGGACGAATCACCAACACGCCAACACAACAGGCATAGCAATGCCATACCGAACAAACATAGTGAGGACAAGTGCAGGATGTGGGGGGTGCAGATGGAGATCGTCCTCAACAAGAGAAAAAGCAAGTCCGTACTTGCGCTCGGTGAAGGGGGGCAAATAACCACGGGAAATTGAGTCTACGAGCGCAGCTTAATTATTCGTACGGGGAATGATCATGGATATGTAGTATGTATAGAAGATTTTCATTCGAGATACCACGTGCAAAGACACGAAAGGCACAAAGTAAAAGGGAAAAGTATTCGATGGGAAGCGGAAGTGGTTTTTCCGTCAAATAGATCTGTCTCCATCTAGCCACTCTTCTTCTTTTTCTCTCTTGTTGTCATCTTTGCTAGTATGTTCTGCAGATAGTCTGTGGGGGAGTGTGTAGAGTGTATGTTGTAGGTAAAAGGTGCAAGCATGGGTATTTGGGAGTTATGTAGAGAAAGGGCAAGCAGTCGCCCCAAAAGCATTTCAAAGCACAAAAACTATGGGGTAGTGGTGGTGGTTTGTTTTTGGGTTTCGCGAACTCCCTTGTCTTGTGGTTTTTTTTATTGTTGTATATGATATGTATATTTGGGTGTCTGGTTTGTTTTGCACTTGACAGGGAGCTCTTTTCTGCTTTTTTTTTTCTGTTGGAAAGGGACCTCTTTCCTTCTTCCAGCGACATCACAAAAGGAAAGCGGGCGGTCATACTAACAAAAGCATGGGCACGATCCCGCCCGAATGAGGAAGAGAGGTCAGAGCTTGAGCCACATTAATGTTCTTTACGAGTGACAAATGTAAAGTGGAGGAGAATGAAGAAAAGAGGAAAAGCACAACAGCGTCGAGCCCCGCAACTGCAGAGAATCAATGATCTGCGTTGCTGAACCGGGTCTTCGAGGCGGGGGAATAGAAAGAAAACACAGTGAAATGCAAATAAATTTCAACAGCTCGCGCTTGCAATGCTAGTTATAGAAGAGGATGACAAACGAGCTAAATGCAACTTGGGAGACCCAAGAGATGGTATGCGAATCGAAAGATGGGTATGCAATTTTTGGACACGGAACAAAGGAAGAGGATAGTGGAGGGGGTAATGAAATAACGACAATCCTTCTCAGCAGATTGATTGTGGTCGGATCGAGGATAGACCGTGAACCAGAGACGGCAAATATGGCACAAGGCGCAAGGCACATTGATTCTAGGTATCGAGCGAGGTGATGATATACTATCGACGGAGATTGCTTTCAGCCAGGTCAACTTCAGTAGCCGGTGCTGAACGACATTTGAGGCTGGAGATATTGTTGGTGATATGTAGCCTCCTGCGCGTAGCTGGGAGCATTGGTGTATGGTACACTAGGGGAGGGGGTGGGTGACGGTGAGCAGGCACTAGTGCCAGCTACTCCTTTGGCAAAGGTGGGATTACCACCGTTGGCGAAGACTTCGTTTTCAGGAGTAATTGGCGGTGTGATGTAGCCGTGAGCCATAGTGGATGATTGCGGGGCCTTCTGGGGCGTAGCAAGACCAATCTCTCCTTCATAGGGTTTAGACTCGGCCGGAACAACATCGGAGGGCGGGCTAGGGGGCGTGTAGCTCGCGACGGAGGCCTGGCGGGCGAGGAATTGCTCCAGGATCTTTGACACCCGCGAGTAGTGGGCCGACGAGTATTTCCTAGAGAGCACCTGCGAGGGCTGGTGTAATTGCTGAGACAATCCCACTAGTGTCATTGAGTCGTATTGAGAAGCCCACTCAGTGTGACGAGGCTGAGTTCGGTTCAAGATGCACCGTGCAAGAGCCAAGGAGGCTCTGGCTAGATCGGACGAAGGCTTGGAGACAAATTCCCGATGGAACAGGGAGATTTCCGCGATGTAAAGAGACAGGTGCTCAACCTCTGCGTCATAAGGGCAATCCATGACAGCCATTTGCAGGAAGTTGTCGACCGTGGGATGACCGATGGTCCAGCCCAAAGTCTGCAGCACATGCCACTCCATCTGGATGAACATGTCATCGTCGTAAAGCGAGCAGCACATCGACTTGAGCTCCTTGATGGTCGGAACACGATCCTTCTTGTCACCATACTTGGCAGCAATGAGCAAAGCCGCACACCCGACCAATTGGTAGTGTCTCTTGTAGACGACACGTTTCGAGCAGTATCGGTCGAGCAAGTTAATGGTCAGGAAGAGAGTAGACGGCAGCAGCTGAAAGGCGGTATGGGCTTCAATCAGGAAATCGAGCAGGTAGGGACGCATGAACCATTGAATCTCGGTTTGGATATCGATCGACTCAACGTCAGGGAGGGTGGCGGTCTGTTAAAGGTCAAGATTAGCCACAATCGTTTCACAACCAGTCAAGTGACAACTGACATCCATGTCCAGCATGTGCGCCAGAATGTCATCACGGAACTCTTCGCTGGTGATCTTGGAAAGTTCATCCGCAATGGCATACTGACGCTCTCGGGCAATCAGTCTCGCATGCTCCTTTGGTTCCATGCGAGGGGCCGGGAAGTCGTCATACGACTCCACAAAGAAGGTATCGCAAGGCTGATAGCTAGAGGCAGGACGCTTTTGATAGGCCATATTGTCGGACTGGTGGTGATGATAACGATCCGAATGATTAGTGTAAAGAGTGGATCTGATAGATGGTCTTGTCTATCAGGGAACGACGGAGTTCAGAGAGTGACAGTCGTCGAATTAGGTGTGGGGATTAATGAACGGAATTAGTTGGAAATATTAGAAAGTGTCCAGTAAGATGACGATAGTCCGAGCACTGGAAAGGGAAAGGATAGCCAGACAGCTGGTGGAAAGCCTTTTTCGAGTGGCCGGAGCTAGATGAAGTTAAAATTAGTGTACGTGATATTAGGATTAGAAAAGAGAGATAATGAAAAAGAACGACGGGAGGGTGAAAAAGAGTGTGTGATGCAAAAAAGAGAGAAGTAAAAGGAAATATAAGATGTTAAAGAAAGGCTTGTAGTTGGGAAAGGAAGGCCCAAGGAGGGAAGAAGAGAGAGAAAGGTCGAGGGTGAAAAGGGGGACTCCCTGGGGATAAAAAGGTACTAACCCAGATAGAAGGCCTTCGGGCAGAGGGCACGATGCAACCCTTACCGTGACGGCGTGTCTGGCATCTAGGCAGGGCCAAGACGCAAGAATGATCCGGCGAGATGAACTCTGGAGGATGCCAATTCAAAAGACGAAGTGCGACTGAACGCCTTCGCCCTAGGAACCGGTTCTTGGACTGGCAAGCCTATGGGCACTCCGGAATGTGGAAACAGGAGTACAGGCACGAACCCTGTGAAGGGGTGGGGAGATCGTCAGGGGGGGGAATCGAGGTGCAATGAGAATGATCACAACGTACAGTCGGCAATCCAGTATCCTTTCGAAGGTTTTTGTGCAGGACAGGAATGAAGTTGTGAGATGCGAAAAGCGCTAGAAAGCCAAAATCCA